TGCTCTTCCTCCCTGACCAGGAGGGAAAAGCTCAGTCTTCTTAGAGAACCATGAGAGCCTGTTCCTCTCCCTTTTTATCAGCTGTATCTTACTCACTGTTAATGGCGAGGAGCTGTAATGACTTTCTTCTTCTTCTTCTTTTTTTTTTTTTTTAAGATTTTATTTATTTATTAGAGAGCACAAGCAAGGGGAGCAGCAGAGGGAGAGGGAAAAGCCGACTCCCCACTGAGCAGGGAGCCCCATGCGGGGCTAGATCCCAGGACTAGATCCCAGGACCCTGGGATCATGACCTGAGCCAAAGGCAGGTGTGTAACCAGCTAAGCCACCCAGGGTGCCCCGCCTTTCTCCTTTTTTGGTTAGGAATTTCCTTTTGTTCCCACCAGATATAGGGACAATAAAAGGCATCACGACAGCTTGCTTTCATTTCACTCATCTCTGGGTTGCTTTCTGTTGAAGATGCACTCATTTAGGGGAGGCATTTGCTCCTAGTCTCACTTTGGGAACTAGAAAAATAGTCTAACCCATTCTGTGAGTTTTCCAATCTGTTATAGTTGTATTTTTATTTTCCTAATGCGTGGCTTTTATATTTAAACTAGTAATACTTGTATTTGTTTTTATAATTGTTAGCCTTATTTCCATTCTTAAATGAATCGCTTTCCATTAGTCTTTTCATTTTATGCCATGCATTTTGGTTTCTTAATTTCGTTTTGTTCATTACCTCTCATGCCTTCTCATCTTCTGCTTCTGCATGAACTTTCTGGAATTCCTGACACTTTTGTTCTCTAAATTCAAATACTAAGTTTAAAAATCTGTAAACATTCTTTAATCATAACCTTTTCTTCTTCCACGTTCCTTCATCTCCTGCAGTTCTACTGGGAGCCTCAGTTGATAGACATCTCCACTTACCCATCACTCTGTACTTAGTTTCTTTTTTTCCCCCCCAATCTACTTAGGATTTATGGCCATTCATGTCACTCTTTTTTTTTTTTTTAAGATTTTATTTATGTTTTAGAGAGAGCGCACGAGAGAGAGAGCACAAGCTGTGTGGGGGAGGGGCAGAGGGAGAGGGAGAAGCAGACTCCCTTATGAGCAGGGAGCCTGATGCAGGGATCAATCCCAGGGGATTGCAACCTGAGCCGAAGGGAAACACCCAACCGACTGAGCCAACAGTCGATCCCTCTGACTTTAACCTTGTAAGTCACGGAGTTTCTGCCCAGTTACCCTGTTTCTAGCCAAGTAAAGGCGCCCTTTACTTACTTTTGCTAATACCCTAATCCAGTGGTTTTCACACTGTTGTCCAGGGATTTCTGGGGTTGATGGTTAAAACCCTGGGAGCAGATTAGGTTACCTGTGAAGAGTTTGTGGATTGAGAACAGATTTCTGGCTCAGCCCTGAAATCATAGAGAAGAATAATAGTGTGCTGTGTTTTGTTTTGTTTGTTTTAGAAGAATAATGTTTAAAGACTGGCAGGAAAAGGGAAGCTAGTGATGGAAACTGGGTGAATAATCAGAGAAGGAGGATGATTGCTGAAATAGGAGGGGCTGCTCAGAGATCAGGTGAAATTGTGAGAGTGGAATTCGGATGCTGGGTCTTGACTGACCACTGCCAGAGCACTTGGAGTTGGTCAGTGGACATGAAGTCAGATCTGTGATTGGAGGAGTGAGTGAGCAGTACCTAGCACAAGTCTGCAAGTGTAGGCTGTACAGGGGAGGAGAGAATAGGGTAGTTGTTAGAATCTTCAAAGCTCTGCTTGGTTTACCTGCAGCTTCCCTAGCACCTAAGAGCTAGGCCGTCGTGTTGTAGAGCAGTAGTAGGCCTCCTGCCTGGCTCGGAGGTTCGGCTTGGGCTTGCCTGGAGCTGTGAAGTCCCTTTCATCTTGCCGTGGCTCTCAGGATTCCCTCATATTCTCTACTCCATTTACGGTGTCCTCCTCCTGTGTGAATTCTGTCTCCATGTGTGACTCTTATTTGAGGAACTTGGCTTCTATTTTACTAAGAAAATATTTTTATTTTCTTAGTAAAATAGAAAATAGAAACCATCTAAAGGGAATGTTTTTGTGCTTTTACCACGCATCTGCTTACCTAGCTGCAGTGGAACTCGAATGTTCTGTCCTCTGCTCCTCCTCCTTCTGACTAGGGATACATTTATTTCTAGCTCCTCACCTTGAACGCATTGCTTTAGCACTTCTCCTTTTTCTTTCTTGCATCAATAATTTTTCTCTCTACCTGATTATTATTGCAATGTGTAACTTTTCTCATCTTAAAAAAAAAAAAGCCCTCTTCATAGTTCCCATCACATTTCTTTTGCTTCCCTTTACCATAAAATTCCTGGCAAGAACTGTCTATGTACATTTTATTTTCAGTGCTTCTTCTGTCTTAATTTACTTCAGTCAGGGTTTTACGTTCACTGCCTCAGAAAAACAGCTCTGGTCAAGGTCACCGATGACCTCCATGTTGCTAAATCCAGTTGTCCATTCTCAGTGCTCATCTAACTTGGCCTGTCAGCAGCATTTGATGCGGCTGATAATTCCCTTTTCCTACATGAACTTTCTTCATTTGACTTTTGGGACATCACAGTCTGTTGTTTGCCTCCTACCTGCTGACTGCTGCTTCTCAGTTAGCTCTTCCTGGTTCCTTCTGTCAAGTTGACTTCTAAATATTTGAGAGCTCCGGGGCTTGGTTCTCCGACTTCTCTGGTTGTACCCACTCCCTGGGGTGGAAATCTCATCTGGTCTTAGGGCTTTAGCTATCTATCTGCTTATGTTCCCCCTGCTCCTCAGCTTAAAAAAAAATTCTAGCCAGGCTCCTTTCCTTGGACTGTACAGATTTTTATATCCAACAGCTCATCCACCCTCTCCACCTGAGTGAATAATAAGTATTTCACATTCAGCAGTGTAAACTGTACTTTTTATTTCCAGCACAAAATAACTTTACTCATAATCTTTCCTGACTCAGGAAATGGCCACTCTCTCTTTCCAGTTTCTTAGGCCAAGCCTTATGCCTGCAAGCCCTCTCAAGTCTGTTTTCAAAACATACCCAGAACTTAATAATTTTTGATATTTCTACTGTACAGGTCCAAGTGACCTGTCTTCTGGATGATTGCAGGGCACTCCTAACTGGTCTCTCTGCTTCTGACCTGTCCCTTCTAAGTTCCTTTCCACATTGTACCTAGAGTGAGCCTTTTGCCCTCTGTCAGATCCTGTCACCCTTCTGCTCAGAGTCCCATCGCATGGATTCCTGTCTCACTCAGGGTAAAAACCAACTTTTCACTCTTTGTGAGAACTGACGCTTAGTACGAACTCCTGTATGACCTCATCTCTTACTTCTCTCTTGCTGTTTGAACACACCAGAGCTTTTCCTGTCTCAGACCCTTGGTGTGACTGTTCTCTGTGCCTTGAGTACCCTCCCTCCAGATTTCTGCATGTCTTGCTCTCTCTTCTCCCATAAGTCCTTCCTCAGATGCCACCTTATTAGTGAAGCGTGCCCCTCACCTGTGCTCACACTCCCTGTTCCCGTAATCCTGCACCAATTGTCATTTGCCCCGATGCCTGTTTATTGATGGGCTGTTTTCTTAGTGGAGTGTAAGCTCAGTGAGGGTGGGAGTTTTGTTTTGTTCACTGCTGTGTTCTCAGTTCTGAAAAGAGTGCCTGGTGTACAGTAAGCTCATGACAAGTAATTGTTGAATGAATTGAATTTCAGTTAGCTTCTGCTGTAATAAATATTAATTGCCTTGGTCATTCGATCCCTCTGACTTTAACCTTGTAAGTCACGGAGTTTCTGCCCAGTTACCCTGTTTCTAGTGCTCTTGCAGCCCTACTCAGACTTCACCATTCCATTATAAACAGTCTCCCCCGACACTCAACATCTTCTTAGGAGACCCCCTCTATTTACATTTCTTCACCAATAACTGGTTTCCCTTTTTGACCCATTTTCCCTACTCATAGGATTTTGGGAGGAAGTAGTGATGGTGCTAACATTCTCTTATCCATCTGGAGTTCTTAATGGGCTCCCAGCAGTAGGCCAGTTTGATGCTTTTGACTCTTGGCTCCTTTTTGGTCACTGTCATTATTGTCCGTTGTCACTTTCCCACTCCACTGGTATTGGAAGAACACGAGGCTCGTGGTCTTCCTGTCTACTCTCAGTTTGTCATTTCCTAGATGACATTTTACAGTGGTTGTTCACACCTAGATCTAAGGTCCTTTTTAGTCATGTGGCCAACAATCCTTCAGAAATCTATGCATAGGGGTGCTCCCTAGACTATTGTCACTTTGAATTGTTTCATTTGAGAGTCTTCAAATTATTTTTACCCTGGTTTGTAGCTCTAGTGAGACTGTATTTCTGCACACTTGGACTTTGACGGGGGTGAGGTCTCTCGTTCTTTGACCCACCCTCTTTTTACCTATCGTTCCCATGAAATTAAATGGAATTTAATTTGAATTTAATATTTAAGAAGTTTCTCATTCAACTGCTGTTTATTTTGATATGTGGTATATTTATTGAATGATTATTCCCCCCACATTGATTTGTGATGCTTTCTATATGTAGAACCAAATTATATAAATTTTGTGTAGTAGATGTTTCATTTGTCTGTCAAGTTTTGGTGCCATCACACTCTTTAAATGTTACTGAAGCTTTATAGTGTGTTTGATATTTGGAGCACTGGGTGTCATACGTCTCTTTGACTTTGGTTTTCAGAATTGTTGGTGTTGGTCTTGCTCTTTACACTTCCATATGATTTTGAAAACAATTCGGTTAAGTTATGAAAAGAAAGATCTTCATTGGGCTTTTTTTTCTGCAATGATATTAAACACTGGGCTATTTGAGTTATTAGTTCATATAAGTTAGTATTTTATCAAAACTTTATATTAGCAAAATATCTAAAAATTTTTACTTTTTTAATAGATCAAATCCTTTTTGCATATAAATACCAAAGATGTATCTTCTATAATTTATTAAAAAAAATGCCACAAATGTAAATGAACTGTTAATTTTTTTTTCCAGATATGTTTCCTTCTTTTTGCCATTCTCTACATTGTTTCCTACTTCATCATCACAAGATACAAGAGAAAATCAGGCAAGTAGAAACATTGTAGTTAAAACTTAGATCATCCTGTCAGCTGCTCTGTAGTATATGGGCTGTATACTGTGCCTGTCAGTGTGGTAGTATATATATTCAGTATGGCCATGATTGAAGGACACGATAGCCTGGTACTAAGAGTAAACAGTAACCTTCAGGGAATCTGACTGCTTGCAGGGTTGTCATTCTCTCAGACCTGAGCCCTTGTTTACTACCGTTCTTATGTCCAACCAAGAACAGTGTGGGGCTGCTCAGTATCTGGGAAATTCTAGAGTTTATAAGGATATATGGGTTCTTGTGACTGGCTCTGAGTTTGAACATGCATACCCTATCCCATCTTTGACTACTAGACTATCTTTTCTTTCTCTAAAGTAATACAGAATTTAGAGTCTCCATGATACCATTTAGTATCAATTTAGGATTCAATTGTATATTATTCTTTTTATTATTTCATATATATTGTGTCTACCAGAGGGACCACTAAATCTTTGTTCTTTTTTTATTTAAAAAAATTATTTTTATTTTTATTCATATATTTTTTTATTATTATGTTATGTTAATCACCATACATTACATCATTAGTTTTTGATGTAGTGTTCCATGATTCATTGTTTGCGTATGACACCCAGTGCTCCACGCAGAACGTGCCCTCTTTAATACCCATCACCGGGCTAACCCATCCCCCCACCCCCCTCCCCTCTAGAACCCCCAGTTTGTTTTTCAGAGTCCATCGTCTCTCATGGTTCGTCTCCCCCTCCGAATCCCCCCCTTCATTTTTCCCTTCCTATGATCTTTTTTTTTTTTTTTTTTAACATATAATGTATTATTTGTTTCAGAGGTGCAGGTCTGTGATTCAACAGTCTTACACAATTCACAGCGCTCACCATAGCACATACCCTCCCCAATGTCTATCACCCAGCCACCCCATCCCTCCCACCCCCACCACTCCAGCATTGTTATTATTATTTTTAAAGATTTTATATTTTTGAGAGAGAGAGGGAGCGAATGCGCATGTGCACGAGCAGGGGGAGGAGCAGAGGGACAGGGAGGGAGACAAGCAGACTCCCCGCGGAGCAGGGAGCCCGACGTGGGGCTCGATCCCAGGACCCTGAGATCGTGACCTGAGCCGAAGGCAGACGCTTAATGACTGAGCCACCCAGGCATCTGTTCTTTTTTTTTTTTTTTTTTTAAGATTTTATTTATTTGTAGAGAGAGGGAGAGAGACTGAGTACAAGCGGGGGGAGCAGCAGGCGGAGAGAGAAGCAGGCTCGCCGCTGAGCAGGGAGCCTGATGTGAGACTTGATCCCAGGACTCTGGGATCATGATCTGAGCTGAAGGCACATTTTTTTTTTTTTTTTTAAGATTTTATTTTATTTTATTTATTTGAGAGAGAGAGAATGAGAGACAGCATGAGAGGGAAGAGGGTCAGAGGGAGAAGCAGACCCCCCAGCTGAGCAGGGAGCCCGACGCGGCACTCGATCCCGGGACTCCAGGATCATGACCTGAGCCGAAGGCAGTCGCTTAACCAACTGAGCCACCCAGGCGCCCTGAAGGCACATTCTTAACTGACTGAGCCACCCATGCATCCCATCCCCTATTCTTTTTTTAAAAATGAACTTTGTGCTAATTCATTCACAGACTTTTGTGCCAGGGTTTTGTAAGGACCTAAACAGTTGCCTTACTGCCTTCTGTTAAATCTCAGCTATTTTCTATAAATCACAGGATTTTCTACCTGTGATGCTGGGCTAATAGTAGGTACCATATGAATACTGAAGGATTCCATATAATAGGGACTCTTTATGTTATAATATTAAACTTGTTAGACTTTTGAAAGCAGTTAGTAAATGCTTGCTCTCTAGTGTTTTAGTTTGGCTCTATGATTACACTAAAATACTTCTTAGAATCTATAATCTCTCAAAAATTTGAAGACCTACAGATTCAACACAGTATCTTAGCTATTTTTAAAGTTGTTTTGGCATCAGGTTTTAATGATTATGGACATAGAAGGTGGGGGGAGAATTAATGAATATAAATGCATCATTTTAGGGGAAATTAGGGGATGATGAGCAGGAAAATTGGAGATTTATTAGATGATTTAGATGATTTTTAAGTATTTATTTATTTTGAGAGAGAGTGAGCAGGGGTGGGGGGCAGAGACAGAGGAGGAGATGAGAGCCCCAAGCAGACTCCCCTGACCCCTTCAGTCAGCCCTGACCCTGACGCAGGGCCTGATCCATGATCCCGAGACATGACCCCAGTGGAAATCAAGACCTGGATACTCAACTGAGTGAGCCACCTGGGCACCCTTTTCAGATGATTTTTAAAGTAATGGCAGGGAGAGGTGATGAATACCCTGGACTTAGTAGAGTGTAGGGAGAAGAATTGAAATTTATATGAAGCTATTAAAACATTCTTCAGTAGTGGATGGTTAATTGGGGGTGTGTACAACAGTATAAAAATTAATTTTGACTGTTATTTTGTGGTCCTTTTGGTTGTAAAGCTATTTTGGGCAGCCCATCATTAAGAATGGAGATTGGAGTAAGAGAATGGCTCAAATACACCATTGACACGGAAGCAGGTGGACGCTCATAATTACAGAGACTTAGAGAGCCTTTGAGGACAACCCCAGTTAGGTATTGAGGAGAAGGAGGGGCCAGGGGGTGTTGTGCAATATTCTTGTAATTGGATCAGACTTTCTTTAGCTGGTAAATTTATGTGGGAGGACAGAGAGAAGGCGAAAAGCCATGAGGGAGAGGTAGAGGAGGTGAGCGAGCATTGGGGCAGAGGGTATCTGCTACTTGTAAGAGATACAGAACTTGATACTTTCCAGTTGTAACTTGAACAATAATTATGAAGTATTGAGGCAGTGGTATCTAAATGGTTTAGACTGGTCGAAGAGAATCTTCCTTGTTACCATTAATAATGACAAACTCAAATCATAGAAAACTACATGAGTTTTAAGATTCTGACTTCTAATTTTATAGTAAAGATTTTTGTTGGATACCATCAACTAAAAAATTTCATTCATTAGCAATTACAATTTTACTTATATTGTATGACAGTAAACTTGATAGTGGTCCTAAGGTTCTACTAAGTTTTATTTTCTTGAGCAATAAATATTTGGAAAATTTCAATTTACATATGGTAGTTTTGTTAATCAGGATTTTGGTTAATCACAACACTCTTACCTAACTACATTCTATCTTACGTGATTTAATGAGATTTAAATTTGGATCCATGTTAAAATAAATACAGTGAGTTTTGAAAATCAGTTCTTTTTAAAATAATTGCTTAAGTTTCTATTTTTGTTTAATTTCCTAATAAATTAATGAAACATTTTATTGAAGATAAAAAAATTAATACCTTAACCATTTTTTACAGATGAACAAGAAGACGAAGATGCCATAGTCAACAGGATTTCGTATGTATTTTAAAATTCATTTGTTCTGTTTCAAATTTTGATGTCATAAATTCTTCGAATTTAACTCGTACCTTTGGGCATAAATGTGGAAAAAATTCACCTGAAGTATTACAATGCTTTTATCGATATTAACCCTATCCTTAGAAACACATACAAACAGATACCCAGTTGACTCTTGAACGCCATGGGGGTGAGGGACGCTGGCCCTGTGCAGTTGGAAATTGTGTATAATTTTTGACTTATCCAAAACTTAACTACTAATAGCTTACTATTGACTGGAAGTCTTACTGATGACATAAACAGGTGATTAACACATATTTTATATGTTATATGTATTATATAGTGTATTCTCCCAATAAAGTAGCTAGAGAAAAGAAAACACTATTAAGAAAATCATAAGGGAGAGAAAATACATTTATATTACTGTACTATATTTATTAAAAAAATTCACTTGTAAGTGGACCTATGCATTTCTAAGCCATATTGTTCAAGGATCAACTGTACATGGAAAAATGAGGATTGATTGTCTCCTGTTAAAATTTGCTTGTTTGAGGAGCTGACAATTTTACCTTCAGAGGTTTTAACCAGGAAGTGGGCTTATGGTTGGGGAAGTTGCTGGGCCATAAGAAAGAAAACTCTTGGCTGTTTAATGGTCTGCTGAGAAGACTGTGACAGTCTTGGAATAGGGAACAGACATCTCTTCTAGTTAATTGAACATCTACCTGCTGTGAGCAGGGAGACGGACTCAGATGGTTCTTTAGGTTCCCGATAGCTCTTTTTCTGCTTATATATGCTGATATATGATTGATGTACCCTTTAATTTTTTTTTTTTTTGAGGTATCAAACCGGATGGGAAGCAGTGAGTTTCTTTCTATCATATTTTGCTTGACTAAAATTTGAAATCACACAGATATAACTACATTGGAGAGATTCTTATTCCAGGATTCTTTTATTTTGATTCTTGAAAAATTTTTGGCGTAGTCCTGAATTTAGACAAAAGTTAGAAATATAACAAAAAAGAGCCTTTTTGCCCCAGAACTGTTTGAGAAGTTGCTGACCTGGTTCTCCATTTCCTCAGGATACTTTTGTATATAATGCCTATAAACAGTGCATTCTCCTGTGTAGCTACCATACAAACATCAAGATAATGAAATTGATGCTTGTACCACTCCTGCCCCATTCAGATTTACCAGTTGTCCCATTCATGTCCTTTGTTGCAAAAAGATCCCATTCAGAATCACACACTGCTTGTAGTTGTCATGTCCCTTTAGTTGCCTTCAGACTGAAACCCTTCAGTATTTTCTTGACTTCCCTTACCTTGATACTTCTGAAGATTACAGGCCAGTTATTTGGATTTGTTTCTTCGCGATTAGTATCAGATTATTCATCTTTTGCCTGGGGTGGGGAGGAGGTGAGGGAAAGGGAGAAAGGCTGCCCGCACTTATGCATACACTCACGGATACTCTCATGTACCCGGGGATATTATTCAGCCATAAAAAGGAATAAGGTACTGACACATACTACAATATGTAGGAGCCTTGAAAACATCATGCTAAGTGAAAGAAGCCAGACATGAAAGGCCATGTAGTGTATGATTCCATTTATGAGAAATATCCTGAATAGGTAAATCCATCAATGTCATATTGATGGTTACCAGGGACTGAGGGGAGGGCAAAATGGGGAGCAACTGCTTAATGAATACAAGGTTTTATTTTGGGGTGATGAAATGTTCTGGAACTAGAAAGTGGTGGTGTTTGCACAACAGACCAGAACACATCACTTAGACTTTACCTTGCAGTGTATTCTATGAAACGGTGGCTGTGCCTCGTTTCCTTGTGAGGAGGCTCAGGAGCCCTGACCTCCCCTTCTGCTTTCATCAGTTCTGCTGCCATCGCTGTTGTGGCGGGTCTGAGGGTTCTCCTGGCAGGTGGTTCCTGCATCACGTGACTGGAGCTGGCATCCCTTTCCTGCAGGCAGATGGGTGTACTAACAATAAAGACAGGAGAGGGGGCGGGGGAGGGCACCTGAGAGAATCAGGGCTGGTCTGTTCCCTCCCCCCTTGCCCAGTGATCCCTTTGGCTTTCACTGCCTTTTTTCCCCCTTGTGTGGTAGAATGAGTGAGAATGGAAGAGGAAGGTAGATCTGGGTTCAAATTCCGAACTCAAGATTAATTTAAGATCAGAAGAGATTGAGAAAGATTTGTTTTCTCCGTGTGTGAAGGAGAGCTGCCACTTACTCTGTCATGCTGTTGTGTGGATTAAATCACATCTGCAAAATAATCCAGGGTTGGTGCTCGTGTACAGTATGTGGGAATTTGGGGTTGCCTTCCTTCTCTCCACCGTCTTTCCTTGCCTTGCACCCTCCACCAAAGAGGAGGAAATGGAAGGAGAGACCTGCTGAACAAGGAGAAAAAAGGGGAAGAGCTCAGAGAAGTTTTTAAGTGTAATGATTGGCAGCACTACCTGGCCACTTGAAACAGGGATCTCTACAGCTGGCTCAGTACCCATGTCAAAATGGAAAGCCTGTTCCTTGGCTGTTCTCACCTCCCGTTAGACCCACGTTTGCTTTCTCCTTTGCTCCTTTGTTCTGTTCTCTCTTTGTATCTACTTGTGCCCCCAAATTAACTTTGCAAACCAAAAACTACATTTTATGAGAGCTACTGTTGGCTAGTTAGTTGATTTGGTTTGGATTTAAGTTATTGATATAAAAATGGAATGCCTAACTGGTGAAACTTTTTGGAGCCCTTGCAGGTAAGAGGAGAGTCTCCATTGCAGAAAGTAGGCCTGGCATGAGGTATCAGAGCCTGGGGGTGACCTGGTGTGGGCTCTCAGGGTCCAGGAGCAGGGAGGGCATTTTCCCTGCAGAGGGAAATCCTTGGTGGAGTGTCAGCTTGAGGGGTGATGAGGGGCACTCGTGTGTGTTCAGGGGTGCTCTGTTACAGGGAGTCAGATGTTGGGGAGGGCATCCGGGCAGGATGTCAGAGCCCAGGTAGGCTGAGGAGGGTGTCCCCAGAGGGAGGGATGGCCTGGCATGGGTATCAGAGGTCAGTGGGGAGAGAGGTAGGAAGTCCAGAATGGGGAGTCACCTGAGCAGGAGGGCGCCTCTGCATAGGGTGGGATGTCAGATCATTTCCAGGGGATTGGTGCATTAAAGGTGATGGGAGCCATTTTGTAGTTAAGGGAAAGGGAGAAAAATGAAAATGAACAGGGTTGTTGCATTGCAGTTGGACTTGCAAGTGAACTATCAGTGTGGACTCATGGTTTTCAATACAGAGTTATTGCACCAGATCTAGATGTAAAGGTGGGTGCATGTTAGTGTGTATATGTGCATGTATGCATAGTGCATACTTGCATTCCTTGCCTGTCCATTGGGAGCATTACACCCCAGGAGCAGTGAATATATTTAGCACTAGATCTGTGCTTCTAAATACAACTTTCCACTAATAGGAACCAGGGCTCCTTGGGGAAGAAGCTGACTGCAGGGGTAGGAGAGGGGAAGTTCCAGGCTCATTTTGTACGCATGGTACTGCCAGATTGCAAGGAAGTGCTCCAAGAACGATGGGGTGCATGTCTAAAAGACCCAAAAGCCTTCAAGGGCTTTCACATCAATCAGGGACAATCTGAGTGTCCAGAGAATGATTGTAATGGATCCTACACAGAATAAAATAGAACAATCTTGAGTCCATACTGATAGGAATCAGTAAATGAATGAACTTTTTGGCAAGGAACAGGGTATTTCTCCTAGTTTCAAACTTAGCTTCCCACAAAATACTTATTAATTAAAAGTGGAAAAGAGTGATGTTAGAGTCAGAGAGCCCTGGCAGACACCATCCTGCCCAGTGGTCAGAACATAACCAGCAATGGGGCAGACAGAAGTTCTAGGCCACCTGGTAGCCTGCAGAGAGAAGTGTGAAGCATTGCCTCTGTGATGCTCCTGCCTTGTGGACATGACAGACGAGGCCGGGCCAAAGCTGAGTTCCATATTTCCCCACTGGCCTGCTCCAGCTGTGGCCTTCTCCATCACAGGCGATACCAGCTCTACCATTCCCGTTCTCAGGCTAAAAACTCAGAGTCAGCCTTGAGCCCTCTCTGCCCCCACCCCCAGGAAGTCCTGTGGGTTCTGTCCTCAGAATGTGCTCCATTTCAGAAGGTGACTTTTATGAAATGGTACTTTAATCTGAGGGGCGCTTCAGTAGGTCTGTAAGCTATGACCACTACTGCTCTTTTTCGATCTGGCCTTACCTTAGGGACCCCTTGCCAGCATTGACCTGTATTGCATCGGCCTTTTCTGAGTAGCTTTCATGCTAGGTGCTCACAGGCAGGGTGAGAGGGTGGCAGCGGCCTCTCTATATCCAGAGCCCCGGCACAGTACCTGACATGGAGTAGATTGTGCACGTGTTTGTTGACAGTTGGCATTATAGTTAGGCTTTTCTGGATCGTTCATAATTTCAAATACTTTACTTATTTGCCCTCATAGGCTTAGTTTTTTGTCAGATTACAGGTCCCGGTTTTTGATTTGGAAACTGGTTGGTCTTCTTGCTGGTTGTGTGGTCAGTGCCGTGTGAGCTGAGAGGAGAAGGATTTTGCCTGTTGAGAGGAGTGTGGAGAGTGGTGCTGAGGCTGCTTCACCGGGCGGCTGACAAAAAGCGACCCTAGGGGCAGAGCTGACTGCGCCCCAGAGCACAGAACCGTGAAACGCACTGAGGTTTGGTGTATGAGAAGGCTGGGTACATCACACTGCATGTGGGAGTCTGTCGTGGCAAGAGGAGCCTGGCACACATACTGGAATAGCTGTTCAGGACCTGGAATGGTGAACGTGTGGGTTTGACCCTATTTTTAGCATTGGAAGGAAGCGATGGCAGTGATTGCGATAGCTTCCTCACTTGACTTGCAAGGACAAAACCAGAGAAGCACGCTTCAGGCCCCCGGCTGGTAGTTGCCAGAGTTGGCAGTGGACCTGGGTGGACGTTTTTCCTAGTGCTTTTCCCAGGAAACATGCCCACTCAGCAAAACAGCTTCTAAGCCTTCTTCTGTGTCTGATTTGAGCTGTATTTTTGGTATGTATGATATGGCCTACACTTAAACACTGAAGAGAGGTTGGATGGTTGTTTTGGCTTTTAAGTAGGAAAACACTTCTGTTGGTTGCCACAAGATGGCATTGGTCTCAAAGTTACTCTAGTGGATGTGTATTTCAAGCGTTTATTACGTGTTTTTTTTTCTTATGTGTTACATTTATTTTCACGTTCTTCCTATATTGACTTTACTGGGATGGATATTAAATTAAGATTCCATCTCTGATGTTGGTGAGGTTTGCTTTTCCTTTGCCTTTTAAGTCTTAAAAAAATCTTTTAAAAATTAGATATAAAATTTTAAACATCTCAGACATATATATAACTGAGAAAGTGAAAGCCCTTTAGAATTCCACTCTCCTTTGGGATTGTTATATATTATGCTAGGTTTTTTTTTTTTTTTTTTTGTGTGTGTGTGTGTGTACCTCTATTTTCCTGTGTGTATAAATGCATTTTTTGGGGGGGGGGAGCATGTTTTCTATTTATTGTCCGTGCCTTTTCAGTTTTTTTAACTTAATTTATCTTAGACATTTCTCTGTATCAGTATTTATTAGCAATATCTTATTTTTAAAAATGACAAAATAGTGTTTTAAATACTGTTTAATAGTAGAATATTGTTTAATAGTTCTCTACTGTTTCCTAGTATAATTTATTTTGCCTTTACCCGTTTTAAGAGGTAGCTGACCAATGGCTTTGTTAAGTTTTTTTCTCTTGAAATAACCATTTTGAATTGATTTGTTTTTCATACTGTTTTCACAAGTTTTTGTTTTTTTTTTCATCTGAATCAGTTTTTGCATTGCTGTTAGGATGTATTTGCCAAAGTAGTTAATTAAATGCAATTGTGAAATAAATATTTAAATTTAAAAGTGGAAAGAGACTGGCTTATTCTTTGTAAAATGTGCAAAGTACTCTGTCTTCTGTATGTGATTCTTCTAGGGCCTGCTTGTTCAACAAGTTAATGACCCTTTTCACAGAGTGAGTAGTTTTAGAGTATACCTAATTGAACTTCTAGTAGCATATATATATCATTTGTCTCCCAACTACACATATTTAATGAAAATCTTATGTAACTTTTTGGATTAAAAGATTTAAGAGTTTTTATCCTTTTTAAATTCCTACCGTATTCCTTGCTTTTTTCAATTGCTGGTGACAATGATCTCTTCTCTTCCAGGTTGTTTTTGAGCACATTCACTCTGGCAGTTTCAGCTGGGGCTGTTTTGCTTTTACCCTTTTCAATAATCAGCAATGAAATCCTGCTTTCTTTTCCTCAAAACTACTATATTCAATGGCTAAATGGCTCCCTGATTCATGGTTAGTATATATTGCTTAATATCACAATGAATGTTTTCGTTTTTTACTGCACTGTATTTTTAGATTTGCCTTTTCTTAATTTCCTTCATAATTTGCATCTGCCTCCAATAAACCATGAGTCCTTCATAAAATCAGAAAACCAGATTTTACTTACTATTCCTATTCTTAGTTGTGAAAGGCTTTTCTGTTTTACTTAATCAAGAAGCAGTCTTTATACTTAATGATTTGGTAAGTACTCATTTAAATATTTAGCAAGAGAATTTTGGTTTATCTGGATATGTCAAAAGAACTCAGCCTCCATTTAAGACTTAAAAATATTAGCCATAGTTTTCTACTTAATTTATTTTCTGTTACTTTTGTTATTTAAGAATGTATAATTGAAGGGGGAAAAACTCTTTTGTCAAGTACAAACTTTAAAATTAATGTGGTTAAAAAAGTGACTTACTTACTGTGGGCAACATGGTATATTGCTTGGAGGCCAATTAGACCTGCATTCCAATCTTGACTCTGCCATTTCCTGGAAATTTTTAGTGAGGTATATGACATTTTAATTTTAATTTATAAAATATATTACAAGATCTAATACATAGATCTTTTTTATATGTTTCATTGTCCTTCCCCCTTTTATTCTTTTTGAATTGTGATATCTTTATATGGAAAGCACATCAGCTTTTTATTAGATTTTTGTAAATATGTTCTAGTTATTTTTCTTTTTAACTTTACTTGCTTTTTATTGACAGAATTTTTAACATTTGTATATTGTCCAGCGTCCAGTCTTTTTTCTTCCTTTGGTTTCTCTAATTGTTTTGTGTTTAGAAGATCCTTTCCCTTCCTGATATGTGACAAATACTCTTTCTCCCCCTCATTTTCTAAAGATGATTTTTTTTTGTGCATAACTGTTTAATTCGTCTGGAATTTATACAGACAACTACCATTTCTCTCACTCCTTTGTGTTTAAAAAAAATGCTTCGTTTGCTGGAGAATATTTGGAAAACAATATATGGTGAAGAAAATTAATGTTACCCACAATCCTCCAACCCACAGAGCTATTGTGAATACTGTGGTCTGTAACCTTCAGTAAGGTGTCTTCCTGTGAATACATAACCAGATGGAAACCTTCATGGACTCACTGATGATTTATGTTTTCCTAAATCAACATGTAAGTGGGAGGTTTCCATGCCATTAACTACTTTTCTGTGCAATTTATAGTAGTGCCTGGAGCTGTTATAAGCATGGATTGTTCCCAATTTTTTTTAACTAAAAAAGCTCCAGTGTACATCTTTACAAATATTTGTCCTTAGGATAAATTTCTGCAATTCACTTTCCAGGTAAGCACACTTTACAAGTTTTGAGATGTTTCCTGATTCCTAAAAGCTGTGTGAATTCCACTAGTGGTTTCACTTTCACTGAGGGGCTCCTCTTCCCAGAATGTATCTTCATCAACCGTGGGTGGTACTTAAAACCTGCCAATTCAAGGAGTGCTTGGGTGTCACAGTTGGTTAAGTGTCCAACTCATGGTTTCTGCTCAGGGTCATGAGATTGAGTCCTGCATCGGGTTCCATGCTCAGTGCAGTCTACTTGAATTCTCTCTCTCTGCCCACCCCCCACCCCCTGCAATAAATCTTAAAAAAAAAAAAGTTCCAGGTCAGAAATATGAAACATTTCCCCTCTTAAATGTACATTTCTTTAATTACTAGTAAGGATAGACATTTACAAAACATACTCAGAGGTCATTCATAGTTATTTTTTAGTAAATTGCCTACCTATGTTTCCTTTGCCCATTTTTACAGTGTTTTCCCCTCCTTTTTTTTTTTTAATTAAATTTTTAATTCCTGTTAGTTAACATACAGTGTAATATTAGTTTCAGGTGTACAGTGTAGTCATCCAGCACTCCATACACTACCCCGTGCTCATCACAAGTGCTCTCCTTAACCCGCATCCCCTATTTCATTCAGCCCCCAACCACTCCCTCCCCTCTGGTAACCATCAGTTTGTTCTCCATAGTGAAGAGTCTGTTTCCTGGCTTGCCCTTCTGTCTTTTGTCCGTTTGCTCATTTGTTTTGTTTCTTAAATTCCACATATGAGTGAAATCATAGGGTATTTGTCTTTCTCTGACTGACGTATTTCTCTTGCATTATACTCTCACTCCATCCATGTTGTTGCAAATGGCAAGATTTCATTCCTTTTTACACTTGCAGTGTTTTTTTTTTTTTAAGTAATTAGTTGTCTATCAGAGGTTAATTGCAAACATTTTCCTCCCATTTGTCCTTTAATACTGCTTAAACTGTTTTTTGACATGAGAAATTTTAACATTTTAGTTTAATCATATATTTGAATCTGGCCTTTGTGGTTTCTGTCATGCTTGAAAGTAGAAACAAATGGACTCATGATGCTCTGAAGACCAAATGAATTCAGTAAAATTAGGACTAATTATTAACTGAATAAAAAGAAATTACTCCATTTTTTTGCTTAGCAATTGAAAAAAACTGAATAAGCAAACTGAAATTGATACAAAAAATAAATTCTCTACTGAAAAGTCAGCTGTTATTATGAAAGGCAGGAGACAACCTGGAAAGTAATGGCTATGAATGTTTTGGTGAGTTATTTTTAGATGACATGTTTTTTGTTATTAAAAATACTTGGGGGCGCCTGGGTGGCTCAGTTGGTTGAGCGACTGCCTTCGGCTCAGGTCGTGATCCTGGAGTCCCGGGATCGAGTCCCACATCGGGCTTCCTGCTCAGCAGGGGGTCTGCTTCTCCCTCTGACCCTCTTCCCTCTCATGCTCTCTCTCTCTCATTCTCTCTCTTTCAAATAAATAAATAAAAAATAAAATCTTTAAAAAAAAAATACTTGGATAATATATAATTTAGAAAATGGTTTTTACATGTGTTGTCTAAAATGTTTGAGGAAGACTGTTTGGCATGGTTCCCCTTGGCCCTAGCTTTCTGTAAAGCTATAGGTACTATAGCACATACATTTTTCGGGATTGGGCTCCAGGTGTTCTTACCAGCAGTGCAGGTGGTCTCAAGCTGGGCTAACCAGTATGACAGGTGAACTGGCCTTTGTTTCCAGTTTTACTGAGTAGAAATTGCATGCTATACTTAGTGACCTTCACATACTCTAAATCAAGACTATCTCTTTTATTCTGTTTATGGACTGTAAGTAAGAGCTACTAACACATGACATGCCATATATTTGGAGGCCTTAACTCTGGAAGTAAATATACTTGTTTTATTGGTAGTCTTTCTCATTATAATGTAAGGTGTGTAAGCTCAAATATTTTGTTTATAAATTAGGGCTTAGAACAATGATTCCCACATAGTGATTGCCTAATAAACCTGTTGAATGAATATGTGATAGACAATAATTTTGAACTCCAATAAACCACATCATCTGAAAGTTGGGGAACTAGAGGAAGAACCTTCTAAATGATGTCACTGCTTCTAAATGTACCCTTAGAAATAGGTTTCAGGAGGCCTGGGATGTAAACCCTGGAAATTTTCCTTGAGGGTTTTATGACCCCTGGCTTTGTTTCTGCTAAATCTTTGGTAGGTCTGTATCCTTTGCTACCTGTAGTGAATTTCGTAAATCTTTAAATTCACCTTGTCGATGACATTCAAGGCAGTACTTATTATTAGTCCCTTAGATTGTGTCTTGGGGTTGAAGATTTGTCAACCTTAGACATACTTGCTTCTTGGCTTTTAAAAAATCATTAATGGGGCCAAATTATGGTAATACTAAGACATGCCCTGAGGCATGTTCTGTGTTCTAGACACGCTCTTCCTCACTTCCATTGTGGAGGAGTCGTCCAGGTTCCCCTTGGGGGTCAGAACTCCCTTCCTTGCTGGTTGATTGAGAGGCACGAGGACCGCAAAGTGCTGGACAGCAGTCTGAACTTCCATTTCAGTGGAATCATTGTTGTGTCTCCTGGTGGAAACGTTCCTCCCTTTGGAGCTAGAACTCTAGTCTAGAAGCACTGGTTCCTAAGGTTACAGGAACAGGAGACAGAAAGTTTGCTAGTGGGTCATTATGGATAATAGTGAGTGCTACCACTCCCGATTCTACTCCTCGATTCTACCTGTGAACCCCGGCGATGGGAGAAGTACCACCATATATTGAATACAGATTCAGGGCGAATACAACCTCCTAGAGTACCTTTCTTCAGCCCTGCGAGGTATTGCCACCTAGCGGGCACCGTAACAGTCTTCAGAAGGACATTCCACCGTTCTGTCGAACCAGCTGCTTCAGGATCGTGGGAAACATGCATGACCAGTGAATTCCCAGGGCATGGGCCCATTATTGTTCTTCTGCTGTGAAGTGTGTCCTAGATCAGAAGCACTGCTGTGATGATGGTGGGCAAGGCATTCTGAAAGTCCACAGATAGTAGTTTTGGCAGCAGCTTTGTGCAAAGTTCAAGGCAAATCTGTACCCAGAGTAAGTGTCTGTTCCAATAAGGACAAAATGCTGCCCTCTCCATGATGGGAGTGGCCCATTTCAGTGAACCCACCACCAGGTAGCTAGCTAATCTCCCCTGGGTGTGGTGCCATATTGAGGTCTCAGTGTTGGTTTTTGCTGCTGGTGATTAGGCATGCAGTTGGTAGCCATAGCCAGGTGAGTGTGATGAGTAGACGTGCACACTGCTGAGCCTGTGCCTAATCTCTACCCTGCCATCGTGGCCACTTTGCTTATGAGCCCATTGGATCATGACGGGTGGCGGGGAAAGAGGCTGACTGGTATCTGCAGAACAGGTAGTCCTATCCACTTGATTATTAAACTCCTCCTTTGCCAGGGTCCCCTTTTGATGAGCAGTCACATGGGACATGAATATCTTCATGTTTTTTTTTCCCCATTCAGAGAGCACCATCTGTACTACCTCTGCCCCAAATTTCAATTTCCTTGTTACCAGTTTTCTAGTCATGTTTCTTCCTGACCTTCTAGCCAGATCACTGGACACAACCCATGAATTTATAATTACATGTCTGGTCATTTCTCCTCCCAAG